CTGTTCACGAAGTCGGACAGCCCCGCGCACCACTTCACCCTCTCGTTCCGAGATTTGGCCGCGCCGACCCCCTCGCGTAGGGAATGCGCTTGGGGGGGCTGTCTGTGGTCTTCTTCATAGCCTTCTTCACCTTCTTCACCGACCGGCCCTGGCTGGCTGCCCTGCGCCCCCCCCTCTCCGGCAAAAGGAAGGTGGAAATCGCGCCCGCAGCGGCCGCCCAACCCGAGGGCGCAGGCGGCGCCGCGGATGTCAATTGAGCCAGAGAAAGCTGCAGCATTCTGCAATATGAAGCGGGGGGGGGGGGGATGGGGCGAGTGGAACACGGCCCAAACGAGCCGCTGCCCGCGGCTCACATTTGTGTAGGCGGTGGAGAAAGCGCAAATATCAAGTTCATAAAGCAAAACCAATGGCGCCCCTCGCTAGCGCCGAGGGCCGCGCGCGGAGCCCGCGCCTCAGCCGAGCGAGGGGCCCAAGCGCCGGCGGCGCGAAGGCTGTTCGCCCTCCGCCTCGAACACGATGGCGCGGCGAGGCGGCAGGCCCAGCTCGGCCTGGACGCGCCGTTCCACCCCATGACGATCGCCCACCCAATGACGCGAGGAGACGCCAGCCGACCGGAGCACGCGCGGGCCCTGGATGCAACCGCAGATCGTGATCGCATCTGCCAGGTCCCTGGAATCGCCGCTCGGAACTGGATTGATCGGCTCGTTCGCAGATCGTGATCGGCAGGGTCGCAGAAATCACAACCCGAAGTCTGGTCCATCGGCTCAGTCACGTCGAGATGATCGCTCGCATCGGCGCTGGCAATCGGAAGGATCGGCAGCCCCGCACCAGACACCAGCCAGGGCAGGCGCCTGGTCGCTGCGGGAGATGAGCGCCGCGTGAACTGCGAGGCACATGTACGAGCGGACAATGATCGGGTTCATGGCTGGGCCCGACGTAGCCCACAGTTGGAAAGAGAGCCCGTCCGCGACGAAGTGCGCGAGAGTCTTCGTGCACTCCACTCCCAGCGGTGGGGCCAGATGCACGTGGTGAAGCGGTCTTGTGCGCAAGGCCGAAATAATTCAGCTGCCCCACCCCCCCCTTCCTCCCCCGCCCGTCCTCGCCAGCTGCCAAGCGCACTGACCGGTTGGGCCCGACCTTGCGCCAGGCCACGGCTGGCGGCGCGCCGCCGCAGTAGGCAAGGTCGCCGATGAACGCGCATTCGAACGCCATGCTGGAGGCGGGGAATGGCATCGCACCTGCGTTAGAGCACATACGGCTACGTTGATGGCATCGAACTGTGCGTCGTATCAAACAACAGCGGCATCGCCATCAGTGCCGGGAGCACCAGCAGCAGCACCACCGCCAGCAACAGCACCAGCAACAGCACCAGCATATGCGGTATGATTGTTTTCCATGCACAGTTCTGGTTGTGTAATAAATCAAGTGCAATTGAGATGTGGGTTTTCTCGGGGCGGAGGTGGGAACCCATTTTTGGGGTTCCCTCATGTTCCTCCCTTGGACCCGCGCATCAAAATCATTATCTAGATTCCTCTGCCTCTCTCCTGCCCCCTGCCCCCTCCCCCTCTCTCGCCATTCCGCGCCGCTCTTCTTTCCCCCCCTGGTAGGAGCTCGGCGGCTAGCCCCAGTGACAGTCGGGCAGCGGCGGCTCGCGCGGGCCCAGGTGGAGGTAGTGCGTCCTCCACCAGCACAGCTGGCAGAAGAGCCCGTTGACCTGGGCGCACGGGCAGACAGCGCCGCCCCTTGCCCCCGTACGCCAAAGCTGAGCGAGAGGGGTGGTTTGGTTTGTTGCCCCCCAGACCTGCTTCGTTTTGTCCTTCTTGGTTCTCTCCAGCTCGACCTCCACCGCCCGTTTCTGTCGCTGGAGCTCTTGGGAGTCGTTCTTCAGGTCTCTGTTGAGCTTTTCGCGTGCTGCACGTCGAGGCCCCTCATGAACCTCTCGTGGGCGCGGCCACCGCGCTCCGGGCTTAGCTGCTGGCGAACGCTGGAAGACCAACAACACGCCCAATCGCTTGCGTTCAGTTTCGGTTGCGGCGAGAGGCGCTGCAAACCAGCACTATTCGCCAAACCAAAACTACAAGGTGGAAGGGTTTGTGCGGCTGGTCTCTTAGTTCCCCGCTGGCCTTCGGTTTCTTCTCGACCTCCTTGTGTTTCGACGCCTCGGCGCTGGTGAGGCCCTTGTTTTTGAAGGCCCAGTCGCGCGTCCGTGCGGAGGGCGGGGAACATCTGTTGATGGGCGTTTCCCCCTGCCTGGGTTTGAGGGGTCCAGTTCTCGGCGCCCTGCGCGGGGGGAGCGTTTGGACACGCCTGCCTTCTGGCGCCAAAGAGCTTTCACTTCAGCGCTGTCTCGTAGACCCCGCAAAAGTCGGGGAAGAGCTCCTTGCGCTCGGCGTCCAGCCGCGCGCTTGCGCCGTTAAGTTCCGCGCCTTGTTGTACTGTTTGCACGTCTTGCTCTTCAGCGCCCCATGTTTTTCGTAGGTCTCCCCACGCTGGGCGGTTTGAGCCACAACGCCACTAGGTCTAGCGATTTACGACACGTTGCAACATCATTCCCCTTCCTCCTCCTCCTCATGATCATCCTCGCCCCGTCCTCCTCCTCCTCCTCCCCCTCCTCCTCCTCCTCCTCCTCCTCCTCCTCCTCCTCCTCCTCCTCCTCCTCCTCCTCCTCCTCCTCTCATCGTCCTCCTTCCTCCACCTCTTCCTCTCCAAGTGGGGCGAAATGCCCTCCAGCCTGCAGTCTCAACAATTGGGTTGAGACGGATTGAGATGAAGTGCGACTTGCGATGACCAGTAATGGCACCACGGCCAACGCTCTCAGCCCGAGGCTCCACTGCCCCGCGAGAGGAGCAGAGGATGAGGAGCAGGAGGAGGAGGAAAGATAAGATACGGAGATAAGGAAATAAGGATGAGGAGAGGAGGAAGATGAGAAGGACGACGAAGATGAGGAGGATGCACCCCCCCCTCCCCATTCCCTCTTTTGGGGGTGCTGGGGGGGGTGAGCGATATTCCTCTTCTTATATTTTTAAAGGCCCGGGCGGGGGGGAAACCCCACACACACACACACACACACACACACACACACACACACACACATACACACACACACACACACACACACACACACAGAAACCGGATTCTCGGGATCTGGGGTTTGGGGACCCTCCAGACGGGCCTCGAAGCGCCCCCCCGGGCCTCGCAGGGCGTTTTGCCAAGCGTTCCCAGCACACTTAGGGCGATCAGGGGGGTCATCGGAGACGTCCCTGAGACCCCCAAGACAGCACAAGAGCGCTCCAAGAGTGACCGACGTGACCTCAAGATGGCCCAAGAGACCTCCAGGACGGCCCCAAAGAGGCCTCCAAGAGCACTCCCAAGAAGGCCCCAAAAGGCAAAAATCATTTATTTTTGTTGGTTGTTGATGAATTTGGGGGTTCTCTTCTTTTCGGCTTCCCGACGCTCCAAGACGGCGGTCTTCTGAGCGTCCGAAGCCGCTTGGGAGGCTCCAAAATCGCCCCACAACCATCCGAAAGGGCTTCCAGGCAGTCCAAGAGAGCCCCAAAATGGCACAACACGGGTCCAAGATGGCCCTCAGAGAGCCCCGTGGCGGCCCAAGATGGCCCCAAGACACCCTCCGAAGCATTCCATATCGTGACCCGGTCGTTCAGGGAGACCGCGGTTGGAGGCAGGGTGGCCCGAGGAAGCCCCCAGAGGCCCCCAGAATATTCCCAGAAGGCCTTAAGAAAGCCTGAAACAACTTTTGTGAGGCCCCCAGAGGCTCTCCAAGGAGGAGCCTCCGCAAAAAAGAGCTGAGGAGGATGGGGAGGATGCGCAGGGTATGGCGAAAATGAGGACAAAGAAGCATGGAGGAAGGATAACGAATAACATTATTATAGCGGCTATGCCGGAAAAGGCAACAAGGAGTTATCAAAAAAATGTCGACTTGACCTTCATGCTATTCCGCCTGCATACCAAGCTTCAAGGACCAAGGTGCATGGCGCGAAGCGCCACTGCAGTCTTGTATAGATAGATAGATAGATAGATAGATAGGTAGATAGATAGATAGATAGATATATAGATAGATACCAATAAATATGTATATATGTGTGTAAGTGTATGTGTGTGGGTGTGCGCATATACATGTACATAGACATGCGCATAAACATAAATGCATGAACATATACATAGACATATACATATACCTATACATGTGCACATACATGTGCACATGCACATAATTATACATAAATACATATGTGTGTAAATCGATGCATACTTTACAAATAACTATACGTATATAGCTGTAGATACATGTGTAATGGCCTTCGGCCTATCCGGCCACTGTGCCTGGACTGTGGTTCAGAGGCCTCTTGGTTGCATATACGTAAGGGTCTCTTGGAATGCCTCTCGGAGGACTCTTGGAGGGCTTCTGGAGGACCTCTTGGAGAGTATTGGGAGGGGCTCGGGAGCCTCTTGGGGGCTCTTGTGGCCATCTGGGGGGGGCCGTCTTGGAGCGCCGATAGCTGAAAAAGGCAAGGAGGCCAAAATCTTTCAACAATCGTTGGGCCCCTTAGGGCCCTCTTGGGGTTGCCCTTGGGGCCCCCAAGAAGCTTTGGCCGTCTTGAGTCCATCATGGGCATCTGGGAGTGATCTTTGGGCGACTTGGCGCCCCATTGACCCGTTTAGGTGGCCTCTGAGGGACGTGTAGGCCCGTTCGGGGGCCCATCCTGGACGGGGTTGCCGACCCAGAGGCCCGCGAGGAACACCCCGGAGGCGCCAAAGACACTCAAGAGCGCTGGGAAAATCGGAGGTCGGGGCCCTCAAGAACCGTACGAGCCCGTTCCTTCTCAGGGTTGCATGAGCACTGGGGCACCACACTGCTTGCTTCGAGGCACGGTGGCGGATGATTATGCGTGGAGAGAAGAAGAAGCACGCGTGCGTCTCGGGGGGTCAGCTCGTGCTGGACTGCCCAGGAGGTCCCAGCTGCGCACACGCTTCCACACAAGGGGGTCAATTAGTTTCAAACGAGGTCCGCCCTTGCTGCAGAGGATCCGCTTCACCACTGCGTCGGGGGAGGACGTGTACGCGCATGAGTTCGCACTTTGTCTCTTGCACGAGCCTGCCCAAGGCTGCCTCCCACGGGGAAAACCAGCCTAGTGCACGGCACAATAGAAGGTGGCCAGTTCAAGGCATATGCGGTCCATCGCCGCGTTCCCGTGCATGTGTGCGCGCATGTTTGGCGTCATTGGGTATCCGAGTGTTGAGGTATTGACCGCCTACGTTATCAGCCATGGTAGGCGGGTTGCTGGGGTGGAGAAGGTGATGGTTGCACGGACACAGCATGAATTCAACATTCCGCGGGTAATGGATGTTGAAGCCAACATCTGCGGATTATGTGTGCCGCCCCATGAGTGGGCAGCGCACATGAGGGCTGCCGGGCACAATAACTCATGCAGTGCCGTTGTTGTTTTTTGCTGTTTGGCAGCTCGTCTAACACGAGCCCATGTATGGGATCCTCGTGATTATTATTCCTATCTTGTACTACCTTCCGTTGTGCGTGCGCTTCGGCCACGACTGCGCGAACTTTAGAGAACCTGCAGTTGTCTAGCTTGTGACTGGAATCGTCTGCGGTCTTGTATCTGGCAGGGGGGTGCAGTCTTGATTTGGAGTGCAAGGCACGTGTATGGAAGGCGTGATTTGGAATGGGTTGTTGTAGAGTTGAATGGCAAACTCCATGGCATTGCACTGTTCGAGCAGGTAGGTACGCCAGGCAATGGCGCGGGCAGATCCAGCTTCAGTGGTTGGATACCACTCCAGTGGGATTGCTCGAGTCAGCGACCCCATTATGCCTTATCTAGCTGTCGCCGAACGGCTCCCGTGATCAGCTCGGCTTGCAGCTGATGATCTCGTGATACTCGATGATCTCCAGGACGCGTCTTGGCACAATATCGTTTCCCTCGTTCCGCTCCGCCGATGGCCCGCAGCTCACAGCGGCCCTCACCACACCGCCCTCGTCGCATTTAAAAGGGCTTCGTTTCACAAGCACACAATGGCGCTCACATGTTTTAAACAAGCACACATGATTTTCTTAACAAAACAAAACAATATATATATATATATATATATATAAAAAAAAAAAAAAAAAAAAAAAAAAAAAAAAAAAAAAAAAAAAAAAAAAAAAAAAAAAAAAAAAAAAAAAAAAAAAAAAAAAAAAAACGCTAACACACGTTCTGAGGATCATCGTGATACGCGCACGGCGCGCAGTCATTGGAGCGGCCTGCCTACTCCTGCGGGGCGGCGCCCCGCAGTCGTGGAGTGGCGCAGCGATCCCGAGGGGGCCTCCCGTGGCAGCGAAGCTGTCGCCGCGGCTGCCCACCTCGCTCCCCCCCTTGGATGGGTGCTCAGCATGGTTCTGACAAGAAAGCCACATCAACATCAACATACTCCAGATTTCGTAATAAAGGGAGGGGGGTCTCATCTCGGGGGGGGGTCTCTTCCAGGCTCTCTTGGAGGGCCTTGGGGGGGTCTGGGGACGATGTTTTGGAGGGTTCTCCCACGGGGGGGGGTCTGAAATGGCTTGTCTTGGAGGGTCCAGACCCCCTCCCTTTTGTTACGAAATGTGGAGTACGGAGCTCCACGTGGCTTTCTTGCATTGGCGCCGGGCCCCACTCCTTGGCGCGCGGGCGCGCAGGGGGCGGCGCCGGAGGCGCCGGGGAGGGGGCTCCAGCGCCGATGCGAGCAATCCGCGCGGACCTCCGAAAGTTTATTCCTCTCGGTTCGCGGGGTGCACGTCCAGACCACATACAGTCCAGTAGTTGTGGGCACGTACTCCTGGGAGCCTCGTGTGGGCTTCTCGGAGGCGTCTTGGGGGCATCTTGGGGCCTCTTGGGGGCCTCGTCGGGTTCCCTGGTGGGCGTCTTGGGTCGTCTTGGAGGCCTCTCGCGGCCGCCTTGGGGCTCTCTTGGGGTCGTCCTGGGCCGTCTTGACGCCCTCTTGGATGTCACGTGGACCTCTTTGGACCATCATGGAGAGCTCTTGGGCCGCCTCCCGGCCCACCCGGGCCGTGTGGGGCTCATCTTGGAGACTGCTTGGGCCGCCATGGGCCCCCGAGAGCCCCAAAGTGCGAAAACGCTAACATCCGTCGAGAACCGACGGAAAGGCAATGTTTTGTTGCATCTGGAGGCGCTCCTCGGGGTTCCACCAGGGCCCTCTGGGGTCATCTTGGGGGACTCTTGGGCTCTCTTGGGCCGTCTTGGTGTAGTGTTGACCCGTCTTGAAGCCATCTTGAGCCGTCTTGAGGCCCTTTTGGACCCCAAGGAAGCCCAAGAGGCAACCATCTGTTATGTTCCGTGGGTTCTGAAGCGTTTTCAATCAGATTGTAAAGATGGTCGGCGTCTCAGCGAAGGCCCAGAGGGGGGGGGGGATAAGGGGGTTGCAAAGGGTAATCCGACAAGGTATGGCAAATTGTTTACGCTTCGCGACTCCCCGCCAGCCCATGCAGAAGCCCTGCCCCTGAGAGCTTACGGGAAATGGAAAGCAGAGACGCATGTAGTGAAACAGAGCAGTCAAAGAGAGGAGGGGGAGGAACGTCTTGAGCCATGTTGGAGGCTATCTTGGAGCATCGGAGGCCTTCTTGGAGCTATGGGGCGTCTTGGGGTCCTCTTGGGGCTCTTTGGGGGCATACTGGGGCCCTCTTGGGGCTCTTTGAGGGGTCTTGGGGTCCTCTGGGGCTCTTTTGGGGCGCCTTGGGGCCCTCATGGGCCCCCCTTGGGGCTCTCTTGGAGCCCTCTTGGAAGCTATGGAGCGCCTCCTGGTGCCATCTTGGAGACAATCGATCAAAGGACGGGGGATCGTAGATTTTCGTCGCCCGTCCGGGGCCATCGAAATAGCTTCTTCGAGCGCTCTCGGGGCCGTCTTGGGGGCCTCTTGGGCCCTTCTTGGAGCTCTCTTGGGCCATCTTGGGGCCCTCTTGCATGAGGGCGCCCGCTCCGCTCCGCGACCTGCCTCTGGCAGCACGTCATTTCCGGCCGTGGACTCCTCTCTCGCTTCGTCGAGCACGCCCAGAGCACGTGCAGACTGGGCGTTGGGTAGTATGCCTCCCAGACCTCCTCGAGTCATGAAAAAGTCACGACGGGGGGGGTCGGTATTTTCGGCCTCTGAGGGCCCTCACCGGGCCTCGGGACCGTCAAAAACGATTCGGGATGAAAAACCGGTCCCGGGGAATGGGTCTGGACCTCTGGGGGTCGCGTCATGAAAAAATCATGACGTCGGGGGTCTGGCCTTGCTCGTCTGCCGCGCTGTTCTTCTGTGTCCTTCTGCTCCGCCCCGGGGCGCTGCCAGCGCCACGGGGTGCGGACCCCCCCCCAGTTTCAGCGTTGGGACGAGTGTGCGAATGTCCAGGAGGAGGGGGCAGAGGAAGAGGAGGAGGAGGAGGAGGAGAAGGAGGAGGAGAAGGAGGAAGAGGAGAAGGAGGAGAAGGAGGAGGGGGAGGAGGGGGGGGAGGGGAGGGGGGGAGGGAGGAGGAGGGAGGAGGGAGAGGAGGAGGAGGGATGAGGAGGAGGAATATGAGAGAGGAGGAGGAGGGGGAGGAGGAGAGGGAGAGTAGGAGGAGGAGGAGGAGCAGCAGCAGCAGCAGGAGGAGCAGCAGGAGGAGGAGGGCGAGCAGGAAGGCCAGAGACCTCTTAGGATGTTTCTTGAGAGCTTACTGGAGTTCTCCTGGGGCGTCTTGGGGGCCTCCTGGCGATCCCCGGGGCCTCTTGGAGCGTCTTGGGTGCCTCGGAGGGCTGGGGGCCTCTCGGAGGTTTCCTGGGAGACTCTTGGAGACCCCTCCTCCTCCTCCTCCCTCCTCCTCCTCCTCCTCCTCCTCCTCCTCTCCTCCTCCTCCTCCTCCTCCTCAGATCAAGGAGAGGGGAGTGCCCTTTCCACTGCTGATCCCTTCACAGCGTTGACAGGACGGGGATTGGGTCTTGGATAGGGCGCCTTGAGAGGGGGGGGCAATATCGGGGCCATCCAGGAGGACTTCGAACAAAGAAGGGGAGGGCCCCTGATTCGCCCCGCCCTCCCCAGGTGGCCAAGCTTGGCCCAAAATCTCGGGAAACTCGGCGATAGTCGTTGCCTTTTCGCTTGGGCCATCTTGGACGCTCCAACCCCTCGCGAAACCCCTATTTCGGGTCCAGGGGAGCCTGAGAAAGCCCAAGACAGCCCCAGATGGGCCCAAGACAGCCCCAGAGGCTCCCAAGAGAGGGCCACAAGAAACCTCCAACAAGTCAACAGGTGTCCTCCCTAGGCGAGGGAAGAAGTCGTCTGGCCTGCGGGGGGGGCCGTAAGCCCTTCCCCGAAGGATAAAAGGGCCTTGGGAAGATATGATTTGTTAAACCGCCGACGCCACCAAAGGATTGGTGTGATTGGCCCACGCGTCGCGGGCACGAGTCTGATTGGGAAGTGCCCAGGAGCATCGGTTCTGTTCTTATTGCAACGGCTGCTGGGACGGGATGGATGGGGGCGTGAGGAGGGAAGGGAAGGAAGAGGGGGTGGAGCAGATCGGGAGAGGAGGTGGGAGTTTAGGGGAGAGGGGAGCTATATCGGATTGGGACGGAAGAAGAGGAAGGGAAGGGGATGGGGAGTGGAGGCAGATTGGGAGCGGAGGAGATTGGAGACGGGAGGGGGTGGGGAGGACAGGGGAGCGGAGAGGAGTGGGGGAGGAGGTGAGGAAAGTGGAAGGGAATTGAGGGGAGGGAAGCTTGGGACAAGGGGGAAGGCAGGAGAGGAGATGGTGAGCCTTCTCTTCCTTTGCTCCTCCATGCTCTACAGCAGTTGCCCCGGAACTTGAGGCGTGGGCTGTGGAGCTGGCGACCGGGATTCAGATAGGATCAGGTTCCCGTATGGATTCATTGATAGACTCGTGCGCGTTTGTTTGGCCATTGCATCGTAGCTTTGTCGGCGGTTTCCCCGAATTGAGGATATGTCTCACGCAGGGCGTGGTCGACTATATGAACGAGATCCACTCGTGGGATGATCCATCGATGGACCATATGCGCGGGTCTTAGCCGCTATATGACACCAGAGGTTGCGTGTTTGGTCAGCCGTGTCTGCGGACGGCGAGGGTGAGGGCGTTGGCACTGACAGTGGTGACGCCAGCACAGCGGGACCAGTCGCCATGAAGCAAGCGGGTCGCGAGGGAAATTGGGTCCTGAGATATATCTCGCCATTCGGGGCATACCTGGGCCACCCACGAGCCCCAGGATTTCCTGAAACGACTCGGGGCGTAAAGCTGGTCTTGCGAGAGAGCCCCGGGGGTCCGGGACCCATTTCTTTAGGACAATGACTTCATGCCGAACCAAGCAATACCCCGCGTGACTAATCATGAACGCGTGGTGCGAGAGGAGCCGTCGGAGTACTGCAAGGAGGACAGAGGGATAGATCAAGGGCAAGGCAGAAGGTAGAGGCATCAAAGACGGCGGAGTTGGTGGTAAGGGTAGATGTTACGGCATGGCGCAGGCAAACTAAGCTTGGCCACTTGTAGCTCTGACAAGATGGGCCCGCTACGATGTTGATTTCCTTGGGGCGATCTGGGAGGCAGCATCACAGTTTTGAAAGAGCGCGTCTCAGGTTTGCTTGCCACTGCAAAGCCCCACAGGTGGGTCTCGAAACCGGGGGGGGGGCTCCCCCCCTAGAAACAAATTAGAGGCCCCCTACAAAACAGGGGGAGCCCTCTCCCCCTCCCCCACCCCAAAACCCCGTGCCCAAGCGCACGTGAAAAGCGCTCTTTCGCAGTCTCTCTCCTCCCCGTCGTCCATCCCTCCTCCTTGTTTTCTCCTCGCTCATTGATCCGTTATTTCCTCTATGTGGCAACTGCTGTCTCCCGCATTGGACGCAGAATTGCGCGTTCACATGCGAATCCGCTCCTGCCTCTGCCCAAGGCCGCTCATGCACATGGAAAGCGTTACAGGTCTAATATTGTCGTGTGCTCCTCAGCTTTGAGGACTCGAGAAGTTGACACCTCACCCTCGGCGGAAGCTAGCAGAACTACTAAGGGCAGGCCCGCCAGGAAAGGCCAACTCCAGCGCACCTTGGGGGGCAAATCTCGAAGAACAAACAACTGCATAAGCCTTAAATGTTCGGAGTTCCGTGCTGGACCCCCCTGCAGCGCCCCCAGCGCGCCGCCCCACGACCCAGCGCCGACCCGAGAAACCTACGTGGACCTCCGAAAGTCGGAAGTTCCGCAAACAGTGCTTGCACTCAGGGGTTTTTAATTCTTCTCTAGTGAATTGGGCCTGCTTGTCGGTCTGGCGGCTATGTTGTCGCCGTCGCCGCCTCGTCGCCGCCCGTCGTCTGGGCCTGCTTGTCGGCCTCGCGGCGATGCTGTCGCCGTTGCCGCCCGGCCGTTTCCTCGTCGCCGCCCGTCGTTTGGGCCTGATTGTC